ATTGCGAAGGAGAGCGAAGAAACTTATGAGAAAGGCACAGTCGTAATGCGACATCCGAAGCTTCAACTTCTGAACCAACGAGTTATCTCTAATAACTTAATTTAATCGCACCATTAAAAGCTGATATAGTGGTTGAAGAGTGAAAAAACTGCATAACAAATTTTCCGAAATAGTTCTTACTTATTTATTTCAGTTTGTTAATTTTTGATTAATTTCAGTTTGGTAATTTTTCATGTTTTTCAACAGCACAAAAAAAGATAGTTTTCAATATATGACAATTGTTTAAAAAGATCTTTTTTGTAAGCTCTTAACTAAGTGCTGTTTCAAAGAACTTGATACTTAAATTACTTAATACTTTATTCTATTATTCGTAAAGAGTGTATATTTAAATATATATTTATACCTTATATAAATCTATCCATAGCTCTGAGAGTCATTATACGTACATCTACTCAGTCATATATGTGAGCTCATGGACAAAAGTCCATCAGAAAGGATTGAAGCAACTAATTGCAAAGTACTTAAGCAAAGATTAAAACAAATGTTAAAGTACATTTTTAATAAATTATTAAAATGGCTGCATAAGCACTGCTTTGGATGCAGCACTCGGTGAGCGAATGATGGCAAGTGAGTTTGTGTAATTTTACTTATACATGCATATATTTAACACATAGATACACACATACATGTTTCCATATAATACATTATTTATTTTAATATGCAAATAAATTCCACAACCAGAAAATTCAATTTTCGAGGAATGATGACGAATGCTGAAGCCGTGATGAGCCCCTGCATTCGGTTAAAGCATCTACTCCGGTATGCGTGCACATTATGTGGATGTGAGGTGAGATTGGTGAGAATAATGATGAGGATGCGCCACTGATGCCACAAATTGTGAATGTAAGAGATTTTCGATTTTTTTTCCTCCGTCGGTGACTTTTTTTATTTATTTCGCTTTGGATTTCGTTGGTTGAGTGCGTTGATAACATCGCAGTTACTTACTCAACGCCTCACGCACAAAAACAAAAACCCAGCACCAGTGTTCGCTATATGAGTTTCAGAAATGGATACGAGGATTTCGGGATTTGGTATTTTGAAATCAGATTCAAATTCAATTGCGTCGTCACTCAACGTTTTCATCAACGTTTTGTGTGCATCATCCGTATCTGTCGCAGTGTTTTGTCATATTGGCAATTGTGTCAGTGGCAACTGTCAGTGGCATGCGACACAATCGTCAATGGGTTGGTTCGGATGGGGTGACAGTATCTGCACTCTCGTCTCTGACGTGCATGTATGTGTTCCCGAGCTCTTTATTGGCATTGTATATTTTACATTAAAATATAAAATAAATTCGCTTAAGTTGTGTGAAAAAGTGTGAGCAAAAAGTAAACAGCAAAAGGAAGAATTTTATCGTTTATTCATGGTGTATTTGTCGAATGTGGCTGTGAATGCGGCGTGGCATAAATCCGATTAAGAAATTCCGTTCGTTTTCACATAATTGAATGTTTTTGTTGTCAAAATGAGGACCAAATTTAAAATTTTACACTTGACTTGGTTTTGTTGTCATGCAATTTGCACACTTACGTATTATTTGCCATGAAATCCTTATCAAAAGTGTGAATATGTTTCTATTATAGTTTCATTTATACATAAATAATGATATATACACACAAAAATATTATAAAAATAGTAATATGTTGTCGTAAAGTTAGACTTATGGAGATATTTATATGCAATTAATTGATCAAACGTTATACTAATAGAGATTGCCAATAATCGATAATTTGTTTATCAAATAAAAATATTAATCAGAAAGCATACTAGTTAAGTTGTATAATTAAACGAAATCATATTTCAAGATGAAAATGACCATCGATGAATACTGAAACATTGAGCTTGTTAATAAATTTAAATAAAATTTATAATTAAATAAAACCAACAACATTCTCAGATCTCAGTATTGTTTAAGATATTTGGTTTTATAATAAAATTTCATTAATTAATTAAATTATTGCAAAAGTTTTGGCGGAATTGACTACTTATACTGTTTTCCAGCGTTTTGTAAGACAGCAAGACAAGGAAATAAGGGAGATTATATAGTAATATGAATTAACTTACGTTTCATTCAAATCATGATAATAAAGAAAATAAGCAAATCTAGTTTTATTAAACCATATATCACAGCTAATAGCCTGATTTATTGTTTAATAGTCTCCCAGGTTACATCGCTTAATTTTTAATTATCTATGCTAAGATGTCCCTAAAATCAATTTATTTTTACAGAAATTAAGATTGGCCAAACGTTGACATATAGTAAAATTGTTATAAAGGAAATCCAAATTCACTTATATGGTCAGAATTTGATATGTCAATCGATTTTTCTAAATACAAATATAATTCTCTTCGTGATTCCCATTTAAAAAACGAACTTTATTTTATTTGAAAAATAATAAAGTTAACCTAATGTCTACCAACTTTTAAGTAATATCTTATAGAGAATACCTTTTGATCGACTCGACTAAGTTTTATTAACACGAGAGAACTGCCCATTGGTGAACTAAGTTACCATCGTACTTTCTACATATATTTTACTTCTGTTATAATTAATTATTTTTTCTCATTATTATTTTTATAATAATTATTTTCATTATTTTCTACGACTGCCTTATAAAAAATGGTTTTGCTCATAATATATAAGTGTACAATATGTACAGTACTAAACCATTTTATAAGCAATTTTAATGTAGCTATATACATTTCTGTACATGATTACTTGTTTTTCAAGTCCAAAGTTCGATAGTGTAAATAAGTCTCAAATAATTTTTTTAATTAACAATTATTAAATAAAATTATTCTAAAAATTTCTATATTAAAAAAACGTTAATATACCATATAATGATTTTTTTTTTGTTCTGTCATATTGTATAGTGATCATCATAATAGCTTACATGTATGAATAGAATTCTGAAAATGAATATATGAACTGCTATTCCTACATTAAACACACAGGGTTGCATTTAAATGGCATGAATGATCTCTAAAATTGTTTTAAATAAATTATTTTGGCCAACAATGCACTACTTTTGTTCTATTTAAAGATGTATATAGATGAATATTACAGAAATATAGATAGAAAAAGGAAGTTTTTATAGTAGTTTGTTTTATTATATTATCAAATAATTCTAAATAGTATTATTATTTATTACCTTATGTAGTATTATCATTAATGATATATTAATGGTAAATATATCGGTAATGGAAGTAATGGCCTCTTAGAGCCATGAACTGTTTAATACAATTTGTTCTGAATTTTAGAAAAAATCTAATGAAATGTTTTCCGTATATTTATTATTTTCTTTTATGAATGTAAAAAATACAAAATTCAAAGTTTTTTTAATTTAAATATTTCAAAACATAAATACAAGAAGTACTTTAGAGATGAAGGCTTTCAAATTAAAAAAAAAAAACATAAATTGAACAAATAATTTTAAGTTATTCGTTAAACAGTTTTTTTGGTAATAATATAATATGTATCACAATATCACAATATATCAGCAACATATGAAAAAAAAACTGGTGTTCATGACTTTATTCAGGGCATCATTGACTGTAATGTTAGGATTTCGAAGATGGTCTTCTTTACTTCGAATGTGATAGTTGTTTTTATCAACAATTTTATGGAAAGTGAAGTAAAATTTGTAGTCTATTGATTTCGTACTCTGTTTTTATTTTTACAGATAATATATAGCATATATATATTATAGCAAATATTTATAGCATATAGCATTTACAATAGTAAACAGTACGCCCTCGGATTATGCTAGTTGCAGGTAAAATAAAAATTAAACAGTCTTTTAACATCAGCTTACTTGCGCTAGTTGGTTGGAATGTATCTAATATATGGACTATGTGAGTATAAGCTTAATTCTACTTCGTTCGTGGAAGAACAGTTATATGAAATGTGTCGAGAAGAAATGTTAGATTGCGAAAAAAAAATTAAGATTGTTTTTGGTACTATATTCTTCCAAAACTTTATGCGCTTGCTCTTATATAATACCCAAATCTCATATAAAAATAAAATCTGTCACATTTTCAGGTTAATATTCTGTTGTCACGAGAGAATACATAACTCTCCCGCATCAATGAAATAATAAATCTTTACAATTTGTGTAGAGATGATGACATCACTTTATAATAAATATTTGAAATATGTAATTGGAATCAACCCAATTCTAATTTCAGTGAAATTATTATAAATGTTTCATCCATTTTTCCTTTTGATAGACCTTAAGAATTCTGCAAATGATAACCAGTTTGATCTATTGTATGCCTTTAGTCACAGTTCGATAAACATTTTCCCAGTTTGAGTAAGGGCAGTTCTCTCCCACGCTACTCAAGATCTTTTACAAGATTTCGTACTATGTGGGGTCCAAGTTCGCGCTGGATATGACCAGGATATGACCAATCAACCACCATCCAATTAAATATTTCCTATAATGACTATAAAATGAATGAATTGGTTCCGAAATGATATTTTACCAAAGTGCATCAACTGCACAACGATTCGATACAGTCCGTAAAATTATCATGTGTTATCTACAACCTATTTAATAACCTTATAATATCGAATTATTATTAATAAAAATGCATAATTTTTTATAATTATAATTAATTTTATTTGTATCCTTTTGATTTTGACTTTGACTTAGTAACAATAAGTACATAATATTCTAATACTATTAGCAATTAATTGTTTTAATGTCTTAAGACTATTCATAACTACGTACAAGAAATAATTTAAAAGTAATAGGATATGCACTCTGCAAACATTATTACAGAATTTTTAAAGTTTATTTACAATACAGAAATTATTTTATTTATTTTTTTATATGGCAAATAATTAAAGCAGAATTTTTATTTTTATGAATAACTTTTTACAATAATTGACAAATTCACAAAACAACAAAATGAAAAAAAAACAATAAATAGTCTTTTAGCACTAAAAGAGAGTAATTTTTACTCGAGCACTGTAAGTAGTAATTATTATTTATCCTAACTTTGCACTGGCCCGGTCTAACGTTATCATCACATAGAATTTTCTTAGAATTATGAAAAAAATTTCGTCTTTGGCTTCAGTTATCTTGGCTGAATTACGCTATTTACGCATTTCCATGAGTTGCAACAATTTATGTTGCATTTTGCAATTTTATGAATGAGAATGACTCAGATGATGCGCGCCAAGCGGATGAAAGTAGGGTCCATATGGTGGATAGGGAACAGCATGTGAATAAAGTAAACTGCTGGCATAAGCACCTGGTCCAAAAGAGCCACCGGTTGGTGGTGGTATCGTAGGACTATTCACATCCATGCCTGGATTTTGTTTCTTCCATTTTGTGCGACGATTTTGGAACCAAATTTTTACCTAAAAATAAATAAAGTTTTTCCTTTCAGTTCAATGTAGAGAAAATATATTCATATATATATGAGAATATAGTAATAGAAATACTAGATTAGAAAAAAATAATTCAAGACCTAAGACTATCAGGCTGATTTATTGAATTCTTTGTACAGTTTAGATTTTACTGAATATATATATGTATATATATTTATTTTTTAAAATTTACGGAATTAATTAGTTTGTGGCCCTGAATTGACTGAACTACAGT